AGTGATTCTACCGCCTGCCTCGCAAGTTCAAGGGCCCAAGTTCAATTCCCAGTATCAAAAAGAAAGTATGACAAGAGGATATTTACATGATCTGAAAGCAATGCCCACAAATGAAGTACGAAAATGCATGAATACTTTGGTACTGTGTACTTAGTATATGTAAGGCCTTGAATTCAAATGTCAGCACCAAAACTGAGACGCTTACAACAGAAGTATCATCTTGAGGAACAAACACTCAAACCCCAATTGAGAGACAAGGCACAAATAATTTGCCTGGATTCTGCAAACTGCATGGTCATGAGAGAAAAGGAAAGGCTGAGGAGCTGTACAGACAGAGCTGAGAGTGAGAGAATACACAACTAAATGCAATGTTTGATCCTGGATTAGGTCCTAATTAGCCCTCAGACAACCAGCAAGGCTTGCATTGGTGATAGATGGGTGCCACTTTAGCCTGATTTTGATGGCTATACTATGGGAAATGCCCTTGTTTTCAGGAAACAGACTACAGAATTAAAGACTGATGTGGCTTCATGCCTGCAACCTACCTGTACATAGTTTAGAAAAAGAGAAAAAGGGAGAAATTGGTAAGGCATAAAAATGTTAACTAAAAAAGCATACACAGAAGTTCAATGCACTAGTCTTACAACTTAAAGTCTAAAATTATCTATCTCAAATTAAAGTTTCTTTTGTTTTGTTTTGTTTTTGTACCAGGGATTGAACTCAGGACCTTGCACCGGCAAGGCAGGCAGCAGAACCACTGAGTTAAATTCCCAGCCCTTAAAATAAAGGTTTTTAAAAGGATACCATATGTAGCCATAAATAAGAGATGAACAGTCCTTCCTTCCCAGCCATTGCACCTTGGTACCAAAGGAGGCACACTTTCTTTCAAATCCCTAGCTGTCAGGAACTGCATTACCTAAACATGGCCACAGAGATGAGCACCCCTTGGATAAACTGACAGATTTGGTTTTACTAAACAAGAGTAATCCCTTGTGGAAGACTCTGAAATAAGTAACTTTAACATGAGCATTTGCTATCAAAATGTTAAGAGTCCTTTTTTCAGTTAATAATTTAAAGCCACTGAAGGTAACCTTTACTAACAAAATCAATAATGAATGCTATCCACGTTCAGAGCAAAACTTCTGTTACTACAGTAAGACAATCACGCCAAAGCCCTTCCATACTCAGCACTCTCACACCTCAAAGAATTCTTCGTAACATTTTCCTACCATCCAGGCTCCCCGAGAACCTCCTGCAGACTCCTGACTCTCCTCCATGTCTGCTCCAGTCTCCTCTCCTGATGCCCTTCCTGGTTCCCTCAGGTCTGTGTCTGGCCCTTTTCTCATCCTGAATTCCCCCCAGGCCAATTTCACAGCGATCTATAGTTACTATTAGTAGGTTTAAAACTTCCTAGCTCTAGACTTGAGTTTCTTTCACATATCTCGAAGATCGTATCTTCATTTTCTAGTAAGAACTCAAATCAACACATCTCAAACAGAATTTACCGGTTTCTCCCTAAAACGTCTTCTTGCTCTGACATGCTCCAACCCGTGAGCACCGCCCTCCTGTGTTTTGCCGTGCTCAGGATCAAGCCCAGGGCCTCACACATGCTAGCCAAGTGCTGACCTCAGCTATGTCCCAGACATTAATCTCGACAGCACCCCTCCCTCCTCGACCACCCAAGCCAGGCACACTGACATCCAATTCCCCCTCCTTGACCCCTCTATCATTTCACATCCACAACTATCAAGCCCATCAAGTTCAGTGACTTGTTCTTTTTTTTTTGTTTTGTTTTTTTGGTTTTTTGAGATAGGGTCTCACTATGTAGTTGAGACTGACCATGTAGCCCAGACTGGTCTCAAACTCACAGTGATCCTCCTGACTCAGCCTCCCCAGTGCTGGGATTACAGGCATGCGCCACCACACCCAGCAGTATTTTTTTAAATTCTTAGGACCTCGAATTACCTGTACCCGCTAGTATAGTACCCAGTTCTTTCTTTTTTTATATACTGGAGATCAAACTCTAGACCTTGCACTTGCAAGGCAGGCGGCAGAACCACTGAGCTAAATCCCCAGCCCTAGTATCCAGTTCTAGTCTACTCCTTACATTACTGTCAGACTGATAATCCTAAAGCAAAATTTTTTTTTTCAGTGCTAGGGACTGAGCTCAGGGACTCACACAAGTTATACCACCAGTCCTTTTTAGTTTTTATTTTTGTGATAGGGTCTCACTATGTTGCCCAGGCTGGCCTCAAATTTATCACTCTCCTGCCTCAGCTGGTATTATAGACATGCACTGCCAGGCCTGGTTCCTAAAACAAATTTCTAATTATATGGCTTCCCTGCTCAAACAGTCTGAATAAATCTTCGTTCTCAAAATACAATTTAACCTGTCAGGCTCCTCCACACTCTGAGGTCAAGCTTCACTTCCATACGTTTACACACCAGCCACATTAAAGTGACATGGCACTAAATACTCCCACATCTCCTGCCTTTATCCAGCTAGCCCCTCACTTGAAATGTCTCTCAAATTCAATACCTGTCTTCACCAGCATGACATCAGTCTAAAGTGCCACCTCCTCTGGGAAATGGCTCCACACTTCCAGAGGAACCAGTAACTGTGTTCACTCCGAGCCGCCAAAGGACTCTGGCTGCATCGTGATACTTCCCACATACCACCTTCCCACCACGTCCATGCTGCCCATGTGTGATACACCTGTGAGAAAGGAACTTCCCTGCACGTGTTTAACCCTCCCAAGCACCCAGTTACGTGCCATAAAAGCTACAGAGCACACTGAACATACCTGCCGGCAGCTCCCTGAACCGCAGATACTCCATAGACCTCGTAGTCACAAGTGGCTTTTGAGGGTAGTAGAGGACGTGGGCCAGGGTGTCCATGCGCACGTGGAAGTTGGTGATGTAAACGCCCATGGCCTGCTTACCCATAGCAGACTGGTACGTGTTTCGAGGGGACTGAGGACAGAAACAGAAACCACAATCAGTGGAAACTTAGTATCTCTAAAGAAAAGACTTTTCTGACCATAGGCCAGAAAATCGTTGGTTTTAAAAAATGTATTTTGTTTTAACCAATAAAGGTTTTTACTAAAAAGAAAAAAACAGGAACTTTTTTTGTTACTGAAACCATTTAATACAATCAATTGTGGCTCTTAACAAAGAAACACAATAGCAAGCAAAACTGACTCTAGTTTATAACCTTTTTTTGGCTTTTTTTTTTTTTGTTACTGAAACCATTTAATACAATCAATTGTGGCTCTTAACAAAGAAACACAATAGCAAGCAAAACTGACTCTAGTTTATAACCTTTTTTTTTGGCTTTTTGAGACAGGGTCTCACTATGTAGTTGAGACTGACCTGGAACTCACTATGTAGCCCAGGCTGGTCTCAAACTCACAGCGATCCTCCTGCCTCAGCTTCCTGAGTGTTGGGATTACAGGCATGTGCCACCACGCCCGGCTTATAGTTTATAACTTTTTTGTCAAAAGGTTTTTCTCTTCAAGTGAGATTACACTAACCACTACTTTTTATCTCTTCCCCCAATTCCTTGTAAAAAAGACAAAAATAACTGCAAACCTGGTTATGATCAGGAAAAGGAATGATAGATGCGCAGACCCCAAGGATCATGGAGGGGTGGATCTCACAGTGGGTGTACGTGGAGCAGTAAGCAACTTCCTTCTCCTGTAAGTCATCTGGAGTCATTGCAAGCATCACTGTTTCTTCTTCCAGGGTATCAATGTACTCTACCACCCCACTGGCCACAAGATCCTGCCAACTAAAAACAATTCAATCTCCTTATTTCTTGAAAACTTTTAACAAGGTCTTCTACTTAATTAAAAGGTATTTCTAAGGCCAGGTGTGGTGGCACATGCCTGTAATTCCAGCACTCGGGAGGCTAAGGAGGATCACTTCGAGTTGGAGGCCAACCTGGGCGCCTCCACAATGAGTTTGAGACCAGCCTGAATTATACAGTGAGACCCTGTCTCCAAAAAAAAAAGTATCCCACTGCCTGCTTCACAAGCACAAGGCCGCGAGTTCAAGCCCCCATACAAAGGGGGGCGGGGGTTCTATATTTATATGTACTGACATGGAGATCGTCCCATAATAGACTTATGAGTAACAGCGGGACAAAAACAGGCTGTTCGGCGGGGGATATAGGTCAGCAGCACAGTGCCTGTCTGGCAAGGCCGTGAGGTCAATTTCTGCCAACAACAATGACAAAAATAGGCTGTCGAATAATACTATAAACTATTGTCCCATAACTAGCATTAGTTTGTTTTGATTTGTTTTAAAGAAATTATACCTGTGGAGGTAGTAGAGGTTGAGTATGAGTATCTAATACACAGAGTAAAGATACGGCAGAACATATACCCAAACATCACTAGTGTTTCCTAATAAGAGGAGAGTATGAGCTGGAGCTAAAGTTTTTATTACAGGTATTGTTCAATTTTTTACAATAAAATATACATTTATTTATGACTAACAAAAATTTAAAGCTCATCTTTGTATTCCTATTTCTGCATGTATTGTTAGTTATATACATTACATTTACATAGGTTATTTCTTGTTTTTTTTAAATAAATTTTTATTTACATGAAGGAATTTCATTACTCATCAAGAGCATTTTAATGAAGTTCTCTGTCTTCAAGATAGCCTTTTTAAAAAGAACTGATGCTTAATCTAGCCATCCTGTCAGAATATAAAAGACAAGAACATAAAAATAAATATATATAAAAATAAAAATACAAAAATATAAGAACATAAAAAAGACAAGAATATAAAAGACAATTATATGGTCATCCATAAATTCTGGAGTCAGCTGACTTTACTCGGGTCCTCTACTTGAAAACTGATTAGCAACTCAGAAAGGTAACAGTATAGACCAGCCAGGGAAAGCAAGCCCCCAGAGAGCTAAAAATGCCTTCTGGTGAGAATTGTAAATGTGACTTTTGTCAATAATATTAGACAGTGTTCACCTAGGCAATGTATGTTCCCAACAGGTTGATTGCTAGCAAGGTAACAGAAAACCAAGTGAGAAATTTTTCGATGGTCATGTCCACAGCAAATGAGGAACTTCATTCTAAAAGCCATGGTAACAAACATTCTTCTTGTTACTATTAGACTTTAACATACTACAAAGACAGTCATACTTAAAACCCTATAATTTCGCTGGGTGTGGTGGCACACACCTGAAATCTCAGCACTTGGGAGGCTAAGGCAGAAGGATCGCCAAGAGTTCGAGGCCAGACTGAGCTACACAGTGAGTCCAAGGCCAGCCTAAATTACATAGTGAGACTTGTCTTAAAAAAAAAAAATCCTACAATCTCCTACATGGTAACAAAGATTAAGCAAAACCAATATGACTACTAATGGCAGAGCTCCTGTAATTACATAGTGGTGACAGTTGCACAGCCCTGTGAATATATGAAAAATCAATGAGTCGCATCCTTTTTTAGACAGTTAACTTTAGAATTCAGAATTTTATCTCAACTTTTTTAAGGAACATTTTAATAAGTTTTTACCTGTAGTTGTTATATTCTCTCTCTTTCAATTGGTCAATGTGTCTCTTCTTCAAAAGCAGTTTTTGTTTTTCCACAATGAGAAGTGGCCTACAAATACGGCCTGCATCTGTATAGATTCGAATCTCTCGTTCTCGAATATCTCTGATCATAGAAACCTATACATATAAAAAGGTGAAACAAACAAACAAAAAGATGAAACAAGCCCATGAAATTTTATTTTTTCTCTATCATTGCAGCTTAACTAAAAATAAAACTTTAGTCAGGCAGTGGTGCACACCCACAGGGGGAGCACTCAGAAAGCTGAGGTGGGAAGAGCACTAGAGCCCAGGAGTTCAAGACCAGCCTAGGCAACACAACAAGATCCTATATCTAAACAAAGTAATTACACTTCTGGAGAAACCAATTATCAAATAAAATGGACAAATCTGAGTTCAATCTATTAAAAACTTAGGTATAATTTAAAATTCTATAAATGAAAAAAATCTGACTTTGATATTTACAGATCCAAAAACCACCACCTATAAGTTAATGTAAAATGAAATTTACCACACAAACATTACTTTTTGACAATTTCTTATTTTATCTCTTTACTATATATACTTTTACTCTGTAGCCTTTCAGTAACCAAACCAGTATCACCCTGCCTTTACCGTACTTCTCAGTCCTAAGCATGACACCTCACGGCGACCCTTCCTATCTAATCCAGCACAGTAGCTCCTAGCCACAGATGACTGTTGAGCACTTGAGATGTGGCCATTCTGCACTGGGATGTGCTCTAAGTGTAAATTACACAAAGGATGTGAAGATAATACCAAAAAATATAAAAATATAGCTCACTGGTTTTTATGCTGAAATTATCTTTTAGATGTATCAGGTCAAATTAAATATATTCTTAAAGTTATTTTCATTTATTTCCTTTTTTACTCTTTCAATAAAACTACTAAAACTTCTTTAAAATTGTAGATGTGGTTCACATTATACTGGCCATGGACATGCTGGTCTAGAAAATAGATTCCAAGAAAACATCAAAAATATTCTGAAAAATTAATAACAAGTTCAAGACCAGCCTGGACAACTTAATGAGATTTTATCTCAAAATACAATTTTTAAAGAGGGATGGGAAGAGACAGGGATGTAGCTCAGCTGCCCAGCAAGTGCAAGGTCCTGAGTTTGATCCCCAGTACCAAAAAAAAAAAGAGGATGAGAGTCAGGTGTGGTGGCCCATACATATGATCTCAAAACTCTGGAGGATGTAGCAAGAGGACTGCCATGAGTTCAAGGCCAGCCTGAACTATATAGGGAGACCTCGTTTCAAAAAATCTAGAGAGGAAAAAAAAAAAGAAAGAAAGAAAGGTGGGGATGTAGCTCATGTGCAAGTCCCTAGGCTCATTTGCCAGCCCTGTAAAACAAGAAAAAAGAAATTAATTGCCAATGAACTGGGAAAACTGAAAAACAGACTAGTAATTCCCCCACAAAGGAGCTTTTAAAAAGTGGTATCACATCTGAATCCTATCATTAATGAAAGGATAGAGTTTATTTAAGGAAAAGATTTTGGTTAAAACATAAAAGCTTGGTCAAAAACACCAAAATCTGCTCCAAAATTAAAGAGTCAAAAACCAAGCAGAAAACATTCCACATTCCTGGCCATTTTCTATCCAGAAAAAGCAATGTGAGAAGAAACACTATGAACTAAAATGCCATAAGTAGCATTCTGAAGTTCAAGAAAAGATACTACTTTCAGCCAGGTATGATGGCACACACTTGAAATCCAACTCTGAGGTTGAAGCAGGAGGATCCAAAATTCAAGACCAACCTAGGCATCACAGCAAGATGCTCTCAAAAATTTAAAAAGAAAAAAGAGAAAAGCCTGAGGCTACAGGTCTGCAGTAGAGCAAGTGCCTCGCAAGCATGTATTGCAAAAATACATAGCCAGAGTCACACCCTTCAAAATTATATGAAAAGCCCTACTGTGAGGGGTAATAAAGCTCATATTTGAGGTAAGGAGTGAGACAGAGTCTCACTATATAGTTCAGGCTGGCCTTGAACTCACAACAATCCTCCTGCCTCAGCCTCCCAAGTATGGGGATTATAGGCATGTATCACCATGACCAGCTCAAACCATGCCTTCTTAACAATTAAAGATTCTACTTGTCTGGAGATGTAGCTCAGTGGTAGAGGGTATGCCTAGCATGCACAAGGCATGTGATCCCCAGCATCACAGAAAAGAAAAGCAAACACAGGATCTTACTTCAGACACAATGATGTCCATCTGCCGTCGCAGTTTCCTCAGAGTGTTCATAAGCTGTTCAGGATCTTTATGTATTCCCACCCAACAGCCATTAACAAAAATCTTGGTTGCACTACAATGAAAAACCAAAGCATTTTGCACTTAGCAATTCTATACTAAGTTAAAACTAAATATTACAAAGGAAACTCTATCTATACACACTCAGCAATGGCTGCAGGAGAAATTTCTTCTAAATTTTCCATACTCCACTCTTCTAAAAATTCCAGAATCGGAGATGGCTGAGATCCAACTGAAATATAAGCCATCAGGGCTAAATTCTTCACAAGTCCTACCGCATGCCCCTAGGGAATAAACCAAGTAGTTATACTGATTTTATGTGCTCACAAAAGTTCCCCATCAACATTATTCCTTCAACCTGATTTCAAGATTTACTTATTCTCAGGGCCAGGGATTTGGCTTAGTGGTTCTGCTGCCTGCCTCACAGTGCAAGGTCCCAAGTTTGATCCCCAGTACCAAAAAAAAAAAAATTCTACAAAATTTACTTATTCTCTAAGAACAAAATTATAAATAATTCCTTACTTCTAAGTCACAATGCACAATTAAATTTAAAAACTGCATCTTTAAAGTAATTAGGCCCAAAGTAATCACACACAGACTTTTCTGTTTGAACATAAATTCTAGCACCTTACCTCTGGGGTCTCGGCAGGACACACCATTCCCCACAATGTATTGTGCAGCTGCCTGGGTTTTGCTAGCTTGCCATCTCTACCAATGGGAGAATTTAAACGACGCAGATGAGAAAGAGTCGATGCAAAAGTAAGGCGGTTTAACACCTAGGTGAGAAAAAGGCAAACCTTTAAAATGGGGTCATTTCCATGATTTACACTATCACACTGAGGCAAATCTTATTTTTACATATGATCTGCTGAGTATTAATCCACCACATCGCTCCTTTTTCTAACCTTTCCCTGGATAATCTTGGTCACCCTCATAACTTAACTGCTCATTACTGCAGGGATGGCAAAGAAGTGACATATGGTCTAGCACACCACATAAAACATTTTACGACCTGTTTCTAAACACTGGAACGTTAGTTAGTTCTGTAAGGGCAGGGACCTCCTTTCATTGTTTTGTTCTCTACTGCACCTGGGCACCTCAGGATCCTTGACATCCATCAGCTAGCTGTTCGGTGAGTGTTAAATTAAATGCTATCAGGTCACAGCCCTTTTATCAGAACAGACATCACTAATCCTTCCCAGTACTTTTTCCCCAGCTGAGGCCTCTACATCTAATACAGATGCAAACATCCATTACCAATACTTAAAAAACATAAACCAAGATAATACCAATAAATAATATTTAGAGAAAGAAATGCAAGCAATTCAAGCTCAATATACCTATCAATAAACTACCACTGAGCCAGGGATTTATCTCAGTGGTGCCGCCACCTGCCTCACAAGCAAAAGGTCCTGAGCTTGATCTCCCATACCAAAAAAAAAAAAAAAAAAAAAAAAAA